CTATAGATGAATCTGTAGAGCTTTACATACAGAATCTGATTCTTCTCTTTCTGTCTCCCCCTTCTCCACTTCCATCCCTTGTTTACTGTCTCCTCTGTTTTCCTAGGAACTCTAGCCAAGAACCGCGGCCTGCACTCTCCAACGCAATCCAGAGGCCACAGCTAGGTCCCACAGCTAATTTACCCCTGGAGATGGGCTCAGGGCAGCTGGCACCAAGGTAAGAAAGGGTGAAATAATCATTTTTTGAGCAGTCACCCAGGGGGTGGTCATTTGCAATCCCATATATTTGTTTGTTTGGTTGGTTGGTTGGTTAATTTTTTTTGTTTTTTGTGTTTTTTTTGAGACAGAGTTTTGCTCTCATCGCCCAGGCTGTAGTGCAGTGGCCCAAACTAGGTTCACTGCAACCTCTGCTTCCCGGGTTCAAGCGATTCTCCTGCCTCGGCTTCAAGAGTGGCTGGGATTACAGGAGCCTGCCATCACCCCTGCCTAATTTTTTGTATTTTTAGTAGAGACGGGATTTCGCCATATTGGCCAGGCTGGTCTCGAACACCTGACCTCAGGTGATCCACCCATCTCAGCATCCCAAAGTGCAGGGATTACAGGTGTGAGCCACCACACCCAGCCTGTTTAATTTTTTTTTTTTAAGGTCCTTTTTCCAGATTCTTTAAAAAATGTTCTTTTTTCCTATGTCTCTTCTCCACTGTCCTTTGACATATAGGCAGCAGCAACAGCAAACAGAATTGGACATGGTACCAGGAAGAGATGGACTGGCCAGCTACAGTCATTCCCAGGTAAGTTGTGTCCTCTTTTTCTTTGAAGAGGATAGAGAGTAGTTACTTAGGAAGTGTCCTCCAGTACTAGTTAGAATCTACATATGTTATTATATGAATTTTAGGTTTATTAAATTGTCATGTTAAATCTTTAATGGTTATTTTTATTATTGTATTCCACAGGTTGTTCAGCCTGTGACAACCACAGGAACAGAACACAGCAAGCCCCTTGAGAAGTCAGATGGTTTATTTGCCCAGGATAGAGATCCAAGATTTTCAGAAATCTATCATAACATCAGTGCAGGTATGTTTCTTTCTCACTATTCTTTTAAATTCTCATTTAGATCACTTACTGATGGGCATGCCACTGCCCAATCGGTAATCTTCCGATGTTTTTCCACTTAATCATAATACCACCTGAGTAAATAGGAACTTGCTGAACTAATATACTACAGCCCCTTGACTGGCCCTCCCCCAACTCCTTTTGGTCCACAGATCAGAGTAAAGGCATCTCCTCCAGCACTGTCCCTGCCACCCAACAGCTATTCTCCCAGGGCAACACATTCCCTCCTACCCCCCGGCCGGCAGAGAATTTCAGGTGAGCCCCATATATATGTGCTGCTTTACAGGGCCCTGAGGGATTCAGCTGATGAATCCAAATTTTATTCTTCCCTTGCTTTCTCTGGTTATTTCAGAAAAAGCAGTGAAGCGTGTAGGGCCTAGGATGAGGCAAACGAGCTGCTTTTCTTCCTCCTGTTTCTTTGCATTTTCCTATTGCCATGTACTAGGCTCCATTTCTGTGTGTCCTGGTCAGTGTGTGACTGTCAGTCTTTCTTGTCTTTTGCAAATTGTTATCAAATTTTCCTTCACCTGCAGGAAGTCAAGGGGATCTAGGGATAGCACTAGATTGTCCTTTGATTCCTAGCTTCTATAATAAATCTATCGTTTTAATCCTTTACCTCATTTGTTCACTCCTAGGAATAGTGGTTTAGCCCCTCCTGTAACCATAGTCCAGCCATCAGCTTCTGCAGGACAGATGTTGGCCCAGATTTCCCGCCACTCCAACCCTACCCAGGGAGCAGCCCCAACTTGGACCCCTACTACCCGCTCAGGCTTTTCTGCCCAGGTAAAACTTATCATCTGTTTGTTCCCTGTGTACTATTTTTGGTTTTTTGGGGGCTTTTTTCCATATGTAGAATCACTGTTTTCTGTTTTAACTACCTTACCTTCTCCCCAACCCCTATCCTCCAGTTTCCAGTTTTCATCTTTGTTGAGAGGAGCTAATTTAAAATCACAGACAATAAAAAAAATCTCAGTAGAGTCTGTGGTTTTCACATTTGTTTTGGAGTAAATTCTAAGATGTTTCCTCTTTGTTTAGGACTACGTAATACAGGAACAAAGGAGAAAATTAATGACTAACTTACAGTGATGTCTGTTTACAAAAGTGGAAAAATTCTTGTGTATATAATATAATGCACAATAAATACATTGTCTAAAGAAAGATTCTTTAATATTACTATATATTTATGTTATACAAGTAATAGTTTTAAAAAGCCAAAACCAAAAGTAGGCTCCAGAATGTTATATGCAGTATGATCTCAATTATGTACAAAATGCATGAGAAAATAAAAACTGGAAGAAATTATCCAAACATGTTAACCAATTATGAATGATTCTTTTCTTTTTATTTTCCTTCACTTTCCAAATATTCTACAATGCATATATAACAACTCTTGTGAGAAAATAGTTTGTATAAAAAATATACTGTTAGGAACAAATGAATGTAGAACAGACTGAATTATGGTGCAGAGTATTTTTTCTCTGCATATAATTTTTTTTTTTTTTTGGAGACTGAGTCTCGTTCTGTCACGCAGACTGGAATGCAGTGGCTTAATCTCAGCTCACTGCAACCTCCGCCTGCTGGGTTCCAGTGATTCTCCTGCCTCAGGCTCCCAGGTAACTGGGATTACAGGCATGCACCACCATGCCTGGCTAATTTTTGTATTTTTAGTAGAGAGGGGTTTCACCATGTTGGCCAGGCTGGTCTTGAACTCCTCGCCTCAGGTGATCTACCTGGCTTGGCCACCCAAAGTGCTAGGATTACAGGCATGAGCTACCCTGCCTGGCCTGCATATAATTCTTCACAGTTATGAATGCCTCTAGTTTTATATAACTTTACAGTTTATAAGATGCTTTCATTTAATTCTTACAACTTTTATTAATCCCATAGTTTGTTGCTTTTTGTGCTTTTATCTCAGCTGCCTAAAAAATAGTGTCAAGAGAGATTGAGAGTAATTAGAAGAAACACAGTAGGAAATAAGTGATGAAATTCATTCAGAAGGATGCGGGGATTGACAGTGTTGACTCTCATGGGCATGGTATGTGCAGTGATGTTAATTCTCTGTTTGTTCTGTATCCCTTCTTCATCTCTCTTTAGCAGGTGGCTACCCAGGCTACCGCGAAGACTCGTACTTCCCAATTTGGTGTGGGCAGTTTTCAGACTCCATCCTCCTTCAGCTCCATGTCCCTCCCTGGTGCTCCCACTGCATCACCTGGTGCTGCTGCCTACCCTAGTCTCACCAATCGTGGATCCAACTTTGGTGAGTCCAGACCACAAGGAGAGTAACAGGAAAATCTCACCAGTAAAGAGAAAGGATTCTGGGTGCACTGACCTAATTGTAGGGAAATGCAAGGTGACAATCTATTTAGAATTTAAAACCTACTCACATGAAAAACGATATTTTAGCATATATAACAAAGTCATGTAAATTTTTATATATTTAATAGTATGCAGATTTAATCTAAATGAGCAAAGGACTCTTTGGAAAGGCTGCCTGGGGAAGAAAAATTAATTTAGGCTGAGTTTTGACTTGTGGAATTAGTACACAGTGGAATTGTGTAAATTGGAGTTGTTTATTCTTCTTGCTGTATTTCTAGCCCCTGAGACTGGACAGACTGCAGGACAATTCCAGACACGGACAGCAGAGGGTGTGGGTGTCTGGCCACAGTGGCAGGGCCAACAGCCTCATCATCGTTCGAGTTCTAGTGAGCAACATGTTCAGCAATCATCAGCACAGCAACCTGGCCAGCCTGAGGTCTTCCAGGTAAGAGGGTGAAAAGATTTTCGAAAATTAGAAGCTGGAGGCCGGGCGTGGTGGCTCAAGCCTGTAATTCCAGCACTTTGGGAGGCCGAGGCAGGTGGATCACGAGGTCAAGAGATCGAGACCATCCTGGTCAACATGGTGAAACCCCACCGCTATTAAAAATACAAAAAATCAGCTGGGCATGGTGGTGCGTGCCTGTAATCCTAGCTACTCAGGAGGCTGAGGCAGGAGAATTGCCTGAACCCAGGAGGCGGAGGTTGCGATGAGCCGAGATCGCGCCATTGCACTCCAGCCTGGGTAACAAGAGCGAAACTCTGTCTCAAAAAAAAAAAAAAAAAAGAAAAAGAAAAGAAAAGAAAATTAGAAGCTGGGAGATACAGAGTCAGGGAGGAGGAGAGACAGTGAGGAAAGGATGCCTGGATTGAGGTGTTTGGCGGGGGGTAAATGTGAGAAGACAGAGAGGGATAAATTTAGGGATCACTGTCAGTAATTGAAAGGATTGTGGAAGCTAGATGCAGTGGTGCTTATGCCTATAATGTCAGCCCCTTAGAAGGCTGAAGCAGAGGATCACTTGAGCCCATGAGTTCAAAGCCAGGCTGGGCAACTAGCCTGATCCTGTCTCTGTCAAACAAACCGAAAAGTATCAATTGAGTATGATGCATACCATTTAACCAGAACAGACAAATTTAGCACCATAGGAAGATGCCAAAGAAAGTTACTTTAGGGCCGGGTGCGGTGGCTGAAGCCTGTAATCCCAGCACTTTGGGAGGCAGAGGCGGGTGGATCACGAGGTCAAGAGATCGAGACCATCCTGGTCAACATGGTGAAACCCCATCTCTACTAAAAATACAAAACATTAGCTGGGCATGGTGGCACGTGCCTGTAATCCCAGCTACTCAGGAGGCTGAGGCAGGAGAATTGCCTGAACCCAGGAGGCGGAGGTTGCGGTGAGCCGAGATCGCGCCATTGCACTCCAGCCTGGGTAACAAGAGCGAAACTACGTCTCAAAAAAGAAAAAAAAAAAAAAAAAAAAGAAAGTTACTTTAGCTCGTTCAAATAGTTCCACATACCTAAGCCACAGTAGCTTTGGGTTTAAAAGAGACAGAATGATTAAAAATAAAAAGTAGTGCTCACTTCAGCTGCATTTATACTAAAATTGGAATGAATATAGAGAAGAATAGCATGGCCCCTGTGCAAAGGTGACACAAAAATTTATGAAGTGTTCCATTTTTAAAATTATAAAAATGAAAAGTAAATGAAATAGAACAGCTGATTATAGCCATAATGGTCTATTTACACCAGTCCTGAGGGACTGCAAGAGTGAATGGAGTAATCTTAGGCAGGACAAAGAAAGAGCTGATTTAAAGCAAAGACTGAAAGAAAGCAAAACAGGTCTCGGTGAAAAACAAATAGGACAAGAGACTCCATCTGTGTCTATAGGGGGTTATATGAAATACAGCAGGCAGATTTTTCTCCCTTTGAAAATATTGAGGACCAGGAAAAGGAAAAAGGTGGAATTGTAGGAGGAAGACAGAGGGATTAGGAAAAAAGGCTGCGATCTAAAGGAGTCAAATTTGCTGGAAGGAAGGCAGGCTAAGAGCTGAGCATAGCGAAGACTCGGGTTCAGGGATGATAATGGAGGGGAATAGTGGAATAAAACTTGCTAAGTTTAAGAGATCAAGGTGTGTGACCCAAACTTAATCTTTTTCTTTTATCAGGAGATGCTGTCCATGCTGGGAGAGCAGAGCAACAGCTACAACAATGAAGAATTCCCTGATCTAACCATGTTTCCTCCCTTTTCAGAATAGAACTATTGGGGTGAGGATAAGGGGTGGGGGAGAAAAATCACTGTTTGTTTTTAAAAAGCAAATCTTTCTGTAAACAGAATAAAAGTTCCTCTCCCTACCCTTCCCTCACCCCTGACGTGTACCCCCTTTCCCTTCTTGCTGTTCCCCTACTCTTTTGCCTTTCTGAGGTAACATTTATAGAAGAAATGGAATGAATCTCCAAGGCTTTTAGGACTCTGAAAATTTGAGGCTGGGTGAAGTTAAAACACCTTTCGTGTGTCTCCTGACCTGAAGTTGTGTAGTGATGATTTGTGCTAAGATTGAGAGACAGGTTAGAAGAATCTGACATCCACTGTTTGCCTTGGATAGTATGACTTGTTTTTGAAAAGAAATTCTGAAGAGAGTGGAGGAGAGGAGAAATGTCCTCATATTTGAGGACCGTGAAACATGGTAGGTATATATGGGGCTTTAGCAAGTGAGCATGTGAGCAACCCCTCTGGAAAGAAACCTAAGTGAGAGAGTGTGTATGTGTGTGTGTGTGTGTGTGTGTGTGTGTGTGTGTGTGTGTGTATGCGCTTCTGTATTTCACTCTCCCTGTTAGGGAATTATGCAAAATTTGTCCCAGATTTTATCTTTGTCTTTCTGTGTACTTTTCAAAGAGTCCTAAGGAGTTAAATCTTCCAGGTATTTTTCACTTAGTATTGCAGCCAAAGAATATTTAAATAAATGTCTTTGCTGCGCTTGCATCCATGCCCAGCCAATATACAACTGTAAAGCACATATAGAAAGTCTGCTGCTGATACGGTTGTCTCTCATCAAACACATTCAGTGATAAAGGTGGGTTACTCCTGCTTTTGGTGCTCTCACCTTACCTGGAAGATCTGCAAACTTTACCAAAATAGGCTGGCAAGATAAACACTTTCTGAAACCCAAGACTTGGCCATAAAGATAATGCTGCATTTTTCTGTCAGAATCACATATGTGTGTTCTGTGGAGGATATTTCTGCATGGAAACTCAACTTCTTGGATTAGCCGTCCCAGTGAAAATCCTCACTGTTGGAGTATAAACCAAATACAAAGCTCTCTTGCAAAGTAGCCTCTTTTATCCCGTACTCAAAATACCCAGTTTAGCAAAAAACAGATTGAAGTCTCTGTCCCTAGAGGTTTTTTCTCTTTGCTCCCTCCAATCTTGAGATTGGGTTTTGCTTTAGAGTGCAATTACAATGATTTCGTGTGATAGATGGAGCCTGGACGCCTATCTCAACAGGGTCATTGGTAATTAAATATAGCCATATAAATGCAGATACAGGTTACTACCATCACCCTTCACCTTCCTCAGGTAGCAGTCATAGATATCAGCTTTTTTTGTTTTTTCTTTTTTTTAATTGGCTTTGGCCAGTAGCTAAAGTGCAAGACTGAATTAAAGAGATGATACATTAAATGTAGTCATAGGGGACTGAGGAGCAAAGGTGGCCTTGGAGAGGCCAAAGGAATGTCCGTTTGCTGGGTTTCCCTCCCTTTTGTCTCCAGTCTGGTGCCAGGTAGTGGAGTAAAAAAGGAGACAGTTTATTTTTTTATTCTATGTGCACACTTACAGTATACATATATATTTATATCACAATTTACGAAACCAAAAAGTTGAGTTTCCAGTGGAACCCTTGTTTTTAAATAATCGACTGTTTTTAAATGTGATCAGGACTATAATATTGTACAGTTATTATAGGGCTTTTGGGGAAGGGGAGGATAGGGAGAAGATGCTCTGGGGGTTTTGTTTTTGCTTTTCCTTCAGGGTTTTATTTTTGATTGTTTTATTTTCTTGTTGGCCATTTCTGTATTGCTGGCATCTGTGCTAAGCCTTACAGTGGCAAAAATAATGACATGTAGCAAAGATTTTCAAACAAAATATTTTTTCCTTTTGTAAACTTCCTTGTGTTGTGTGATCTTAATTGCGGCTTTATCATTCCTTTCCAGTTCATAAACAACAAGCACCCACAACTAGAGGAATCTATTGCTTAAGCTCCAGACATACAGACATAAGGCACACTGTGTCTTTAATTCCAGGAATCAGAAATCATAGGGTTCTGATCACATTGTACTTTTCCCCATCATTTGTCCTCCTGATCCTGACACATTCTGAGTAACGTCAGCAGGGACGCTCTGACCATGAGGTGGGGGGTTTGGGATGGGCGATGCCCAGGTTCTTGGGAGAGAGGGTAAGAGTTGGAACTTGAAACCACTAAGGCACATCTGCATGTCTTCCCCCAGTATGTCCTCTTCTGGATTAAAAGGAGTGAAATTTAAACCGTTCAATTCTGGACCTGGTTTCCCCTCTAGGAGACTTAGGTTTGTTCATTAGCAACTTTTTTTTTTTTTTTTTTTTTTGAGAGACAGAGTCTTACCCTGTTTCCCAGGCTGGAGTGCAGTGGTGCAATCTTGGGTCACTGCAACGTATGCCCCCTGGGTTCAAGCAATTCTCCTGCCTCGCCTTCCCAAGTAGCAGGGACTACAGGTGTGCGCCACCATGCCCAGCTAATTTTTCTATCTTTTTTAGTAGAGACAGGGTTTCACTATATGTGGATCAGGCTGGTCTCGAACTCCTGACCTCAGGTGGTCTGCCTGCTTTGGCCTCCCAAGGTACTGGGATTACAGGCATGAGCCACTGTGCCTAGCCCATTAGCAACTCTAAAAATCCAGAGGCATATGCCTGTATTCTTGAGAGTTTATGCATGGAATCCAGCTAGAAACTGAGTCTATTACAGATCCCATTTATTATCCTTTCTATTCCAAGGAGCCTTTTTTCCTCCTTCCCCACATCTGTTTATGGAAGAAAATGAAGTTCCGGGTGTGGTTTGAGGACTGAGCTAGATTCTTATGATCTGTCACATGCCTCGATGTGGAGAAGCATTTGGAGAAGCTCATGTGACTTGTCTTAGATTGGGGATTTTAATAATTGAGACATGTTTATCGGGTGTTCCACCACCTGAGAGTTTTAGCAACAGAATCACACGTGAGTCCATCAGAACTTACGGCATTGATTCAAGTGCTGTCATAAATATCCAGGACTGCTGTTTTGGTTACTCTTAGAGACGATTTCATCTGGACTTTCTGGGCATATCTCCTTCAGCAAAACCACATTAGGCCGGGAAAGCTATTCTTCTGCCTGAAAGTAATGACAACTTTCAACCAACAACCTTATATAAATACAAAGAATTCTGGAGCCTATGGCTTCCTTTATTCTTTTCTAGCCTTTTATGTTCATTATCTCATCCCAGAGGTGAGGGTCAGACACAAATTTGAAAATAAGTTTCAGGCCGGGTGCGGTGGCTCAAGCCTGTAATCCCAGCACTTTGGGAGGCTGAGGCGGGTGGATCACGAGGTCAAGAGATCAAGACCATCCTGGTCAGCATGGTGAAACCCCGTCTCTACTAAAGGTGCAAAAAATTAGCTGGGCATGGTGGCGCGTGCCTGTAATCCCAGCTACTCCGGAGGCTGAGGCAGGAGAATTGCCTGAACCCAGGGGGCGGAGGTTGCGGTGAGCCGAGATCGCGCCATTGCACTCCAGCCTGGGTAACAAGAGCGAAACTCCGTCTCAAAAAAAAAAAGAAAAAGAAAGTAAGTTTCAATGTGGGAGAGGTAAATCAACAGGAAAGGGGTAAGAAAAGTTGGAATCCCCCAATATTGTAATAAAGATACTGAAGAAGAAGGATGGGAGAGGCGAGGGCTGTGTCCTTCCTTTTACTCACCAATAGAGAAGGTAAGCTCCTACTTGAGTCAATAGATACTGAGGTCTTGTTATTTGCCACCAAAGACAGTCTTGTGAGACTTAATACCTAGCAACTCTATTCTGGCACATATGCTGCACAGACACAGAAACTATACATCCACTGCCTTCTTCCCTCCTCCCTACCCTCCCTTCTCTCAGCATTTCTATCCCTGCCTCTTCCTCTTACCCAAATTTTCCAGCCGACCACTGGAGCGGACTTCCGCAATCCTGATGGAATAAATCTAGCACTCCTGATCATCTGCCCACACTTTGCTGCCGAAACGAAGCCAGACAACAGATTTCCGTCAGCAGGTAACATTTGCAACTTCTTAGATCTTTTAGCTCTTCATTCCTGTCAATTCTTTAAGAGTATTAGGGATATAGTGACTTGAGGATCAAAATAAACTTTTGGCCTCTGCAGATGAAAACAGAGATGCCCTTCTTAGGTTATTTCCTGCCTAAATAAAATCTGCCTTGAAATCTGTAGGATTCTTTGTATGATTTGTATATGTACATACATGATTGTTAGTGAAAGCAAAAGATGCAGGGAATCATTTGCCCATCCTTCAAGAGTGGCCTTTCTGAAGCGTTTTCAACTTTAGCCAACAAGGATCAAAAGGGTTAACTCAATATTGAGGAGGAGGAGGATGGTGCAGGGAGGTGGTAGCTCAGTGCTTCCTGTTCTCTGAGACATCTCAGAGCCCTCAACACTCTAGCTATCAAATATCCTACTGGACATTTTGGCAGTGCGAAAATTACACGTAAATGGGCTATAAGCAATTGTGTAAACCATATGACATGCTGCAGGCTGCAAATTGTTCTTGAAATGGAGGATTTGTAATTAAGGAAGCCAATGCCAGAAATGAGTGAAGCTAGCTAAACTTACGAAAAGCTGTGAATTTAATCATCGTAGAACATTGCTTTTCAGTCTGAAAATTATTCTAACAAACGAGCTGAGGCTTCTTGTCCTGTGCGGCAGCCACAGTGGGTTTTTGTTGTTGGGGGAGGGGGAAACCTTGCCCACAGCATCTGGTTAAGATTAGGGCAATTTCCTGCCTAAGGAGGGAGGGGAGAGGGAAAGGAGGAAGAAATGCATAAGGAGAGTGAGGAGATAGAAAAGTGTCTCAGAAAACATTGTCATATTTTCCCTTTTGGCAAGATCCGGGAAAGTACTAGAATTTAGGCAAGAAAGGGAACAATGCCTTGAAGAAATGATCAGGAAGCAAAACTTAGTTGGAAATCTCTCCTTTGTGTATTCTGAACCCCGGTACCACTTTGCCCTTTGTCTCCAAGCCTGCTAGGGACTCTGGAGGAAACAGTCACTGAGCCCATTCTGATTTTCCAGTTTCTATCCCATTTCTGGTTGTGTACGTGTGTGCGCGCGTGTGCGTCGTGTGTGTGTGTGTGTGTGAGAGAGAGAGAGAGAGAGAGAGGCAGAGGCAGAGAGTGTGTGTGTTGGCTAAATCTCCCGAGAGAGAGAGAGAGAGAGAGAGAGAGAGAGAGAGAGAGAGAGAGAGAGAGAATGGCCTAAATCTCCCTAGCTGAAAGTCCTTGGAACCAGATGTACCAGCACCCTATCTAAACACAGGCCCCTCCTAACTCTCATTGTTTTATCATGTGAAAGTCACCCTCCATTCTGTGTCTACCTTCCTTTTCCTCATAAAGCCTAGTTTTCCTGTTTCCCTGCCAAATGGAAGAGTTTTCCCTAATTATACTCTTCCCCAGAATGTGGGGGCTCAAGGTTCTGCTGCTACCCATGGTGAGCTTTGCTCTGTATCCTGAGGAGATACTCGACACCCACTGGGAGCTGTGGAAGAAGACCCACAGGAAGCAATATACCAGCAAGGTGCCTGGGGTCCTGGAGGGGGCATGGCAGGAGGGCTGAGACAAGAGCTCTCCCATCTTAGCTTCCAGACTCCCTTCTGCAATCCAAATATTTTATACCAAGCTAATCAGTCCCTCTTCCCTAACTCATGTTAACACGAGGTATTCATTCCTATGCTTCAAATCATCTTCTGTCAATTGTATCCTTCCTTTGCTTTATAACTGCCTAACATTTGTCTTTTGGGAAGACTTCTAAAATTAATGCTATTCATCTATCGGCAATTTTTCTGTGAGTCTCTCCAGAGCTTTATGTTGTATTAATTTGACTTGTTTGCATATTATCTCTTCTTGCAGGCTCTTAATAATTCCATGGTTAGTTCCCCAGCTAAACTGTAAACTTTTTATGATTGAGTTTCCTTTATTCTCCTAAAAACCTTCACAGTATTACATACGTAACTGTACACACTCTATACAAGTACCGACTCTGTTTTGTTTAGGTGGATGAAATCTCTCGGCGTTTAATTTGGGAAAAAAACCTGAAGTATATTTCCATCCATAACCTTGAGGCTTCTCTTGGTGTCCATACATTTGAACTGGCTATGAACCACTTGGGGGACATGGTGAGTACCGCTTCAGCTCCTGTCTCACCTACACTGTCTGCTTTACTTCCCTGCTGATGCCTGGCCTCTTTCTTCTTTGTTTCAGACCAGTGAAGAGGTGGTTCAGAAGATGACTGGACTCAAAGTACCCACCTCTTTTTCCCGCAGTAATGACACCCTTTATATCCCAGACTGGGAAGGTAGAGCCCCAGACTCTGTTGACTATCGAAAGAAAGGATATGTTACTCCTGTCAAAAATCAGGTACTCTCCTTTCTTCTGGGTGGGCATATGTAATCTGGCATGAACGTTTCCTTTTTCTGCTGCTTTGTTCTTGAGGTGAAAGGGCACCAGGAAGAGAGGGCAAGGAATTAAGGTACATCTCCCCATGCTAAGAGAATATGGCTTGTTCTGTTATTTAACCTCATTTGTTTTTGCACATTTGGGTTGTTTCTGGGTTTTCTTTTTCCTTTGAGACAGAGTCTCACTCTGTCATCCAGGGTGGTGTGCAGTGGCACAACCTTGGCTCACAGCAACCTCCATCTCCCGGGTTCAAGCAATTCTCCTGCCTCAGCCTCCCAGGTAGCTGAGATTACAGGCACGTATCAACTGTGCCTGGCTAATTTTTTTCTTTTTATAGAGTTGGGGTTTCACCATGTTGGCCAGGCTGCTCTTGAACTCCTGACCTCAGGTGATCCACCTACCTTGGCCTCCCAAAGTGCAGGGATTACAGGTGTGAGCTGCCGAGGTCTGGTTTTTATTACAGACAGTGTTGCAGTAAGCACCTTTGTGCGTACATTTTTGTGCACATGTACAAATATTTATGCAAAATAAGTCCTAAGATCAGAATTGCTACGTCACAAGGAATCCTTTCTAAAAATAAAAGAAAGCAAAGTTTGTTTGTTTGTTTGTTTGTTTGTTTGTTTTTGAGACAGAGTCTCTCTCTGTCACCCAGGCTGGAGTCCAGTGGCGTGATCATGGCTCAGTGCAGCCTCAACCTCTCAGGCTCAAATGTTTTTCCCAACTCAGCCTTTCTAGTAGCTGGGACTATAGGCACATGCCACCACACCTCATTAATTTTTTAAATACTTTTTTTTTGTAGAGACAGGGTTTTGCCATGCTGCCCAGGCTGGTCTCAAACTCCTGGGCTCAAGCAATCTGCCCACCTTGGCTTCCCAAAGTGCCAGGATTACAGACGTGAGCCAGCATGCCTGGCCCAAAAAAGTTTTTACAATCTTACATTCTTATTAGCATGAGAATGTCAGTTTTTTCACAACCTTAACAACACAAGATTGTATCAGCAAGATAAACAATTGATTTAACGTTAATTTAACAAACACTTTTTGACACCCAGAACCTACCAGCTGCAATGTTAGGCAGCAGAGATTCAAGATGACTAAGACACAACCAGTGTCCTCAGGAAATCCTCAATCTTAAAAAATAGAACAGGAAAGAAAGAAAAATCTATACTCTAGCTGTACCAACAATAATAGCTAATACTTTTTGAGATTTTATTAAGTGTCAGGAACTTCTTAGCTCCTTACATGAGTTAAATATTTTAATCCTCCTGACAGTATTTTATACATAGGGAAACTGAGACATAGGCAAGTTTAGTAACTTACCCAGGGTTACACAGCTATTAGGTGGCAAAGTCAGGGTTAGAACCCAGGACAACTGCCTCCAAAGCTGGTATTATGCTCTGCTTTACTGTAGCTAATAGTAAAAATTGTAGCAAAAATCAATAGCAATAGAACAATCCAACAGTTGTTAAAGGGAGTAGGAGGACTCACCACAAAAGCAACATTTGTGCTGAAATATTTAGAACACATGGAATTTCTTCAGGCAGGTAGAGAGAAGATATAGGAAATGTGAACAGCAAAGATTGATAGAGTTTCTCTGCATGCCTCTCAGGGTCAGTGTGGTTCCTGTTGGGCTTTCAGCTCTGTGGGTGCCCTGGAGGGCCAACTCAAGAAGAAAACTGGCAAACTCCTAAATCTGAGTCCCCAGAACCTAGTGGATTGTGTGTCTGAGAACGATGGCTGCGGAGGGGGCTACATGACCAATGCCTTCCAGTATGTGCAGAAGAACCGGGGTATTGACTCTGAAGATGCCTACCCATATGTGGGACAGGTGAGGTTGCTCCACACAGTTACACAGCTCTATCAGCTTCTCCTTCCCCAGCATGATATTTTGTCATGGAAACAATTCCAGAAATACTGTTTTCTGTTACCCTATCCTGCTTTCTTGATGAAATAATTTCCCACAGAAAGCCAAGAAGATTTCCACAATCTGGGGGAATTTAGGGAGCTTACGCTACTATGGCTCCTATTTGCCTCTGCCATGGAGAGAAAACAGAGGCTAGGCTACCTACCCCAGAGACTTCTGAGCAGGGCTGTGTAACCCTCTGCTCAGTTCCCCACTCCCACAACAAACCCACAAACCCACCATGCGATTTTCACAAATTGTGTGGCTTTATTTTATATGATCTCGGTGTGAGTTTTCAGAACATTTAAGCAAAGTATGTAAGTTTACATGCTCACATGTATAAAATGAGAGAAAAAACAAGTTGCTTCATACTACAGATAAGGGATTAACTCAGTTCCTTCTGCATGATCCTTTAGTCATAGGAAGGAAATCGTATCTGTAAGGGAGGCAACCTGAGGGATTTTTAATACACATGGGGCTGGGACTGAGAGATAAAATAATGGAGGACCTTTGCAATAGAAACCTCTGGAACAGGGATAACAAGTTTGAGAATAAAAATGATGACTACTGTGTTCTAAGCCATGTCCTTAGTGCATTTTTTCTTTTTCCTTTTTTCATTTAATCTCATATCAACTCTGTAAGGTAGACTTGTCTTCAATGTATAGGTCAGGAAATGGACACTTAAGGAGATAAAACAGTATAATTCATACCACTAGTACGTAGCAAAGGCAAGATGTATCTACCAGGTATGTTTACCTTCCGCAAACATTCCTAGGCATGTCTCCTATGCACATGTACAAGAATTTCTTACTAGGATATAACGCTTTGGAACAAAATTGTCTAGGTCTTAGGGTGTATCTGTTTTCAACTTTACTACACAATGTCAAATTGTTTGCCAAAGTATTTGGAAAAATTTATACTCCATTTGCAATGTATAAGAAATCCCATAGAATCACCTTTTTATTAGTATGTTTATCTGGCCATTTGCATTTCTTCTTCAGTGAATTGACTGTTTTTATCTTTTGCTCATTTGTTTCTGTATTTGTTTATTTATTTATTTACTTTCCTGGTTCTATGAGAAAACCTTTCATTTTTTAAATTATTTTATTTTATTTTATTTTTTGAGACAGAGTCTCATTCTGTCACCAGGCACCAGGCTGGAGTGCAGTGGTGCGATCTTGGCTCACTGCAACCTCCACCTCCTGAGTTCAAGCAATTCTCCTGCCTCAGCCTCCCCAGTAGCTGGGACTACAGGCATGCACTACCACGCCCAGCTAATTTTTGTATTGTAGTGGAGATGGGCTTTCACTATGTTTGCCAGGATGGTCTTGATCTCTTGACCTCGTGATCCACTGGCCTCTGTCTCCCAAAGTGCTGGGATTACAGGTGTGAGCCACTGCGCCCGGTTGTTTTTATTTTTTTTGAAACAGGGTCTCACTCTGTTGCCCAGGCTGGAGTGTGGTGATACAATCATAGCTCACTGTAATCTGTACCTCCTGGGATCAAGCAATCCTCTCACACCAGCCTCACAAATAGCTAGGACTATAGGTGCATGCCACCATGCCCACCAATTTTCAACAATTTTTGAAATTTTTGTGTAGAGGCTAGGCACTGTGGCTCATGCCTGTAATCTCAGCACTTTGGGAGGCTGAGGTAGGAGGAGGCTAAGCCCAGGAGTTCCAGATCATCTTGGTGCAATATAAGTAAGACCTCCTCTCTACAGAAAATCTTTTTTAAAGTAGCCAGGCATGGTGGTGTGCACCTGTAGTCCTAGCTACTCAGGAGGCTGGTTGGGAAGACAACTTGAGCCTGGGAGTTCAAGACTGCCATAAGCTATGATCACGTCACTGTTCTCTAGCCTGGGTGACAGAGTGAGACCCTGTCCCCCAAAAACAACAAAAAAATTTTTTGGTAGAGACATCTCGCTGTGTTGCCAAGGCTGGTCTCAAACTCCTGGGCTTAAGCAATCCTCCTATCTCCCAAAGTGCTGGGATTACAGATGTGAGCCACCATGCCTGATCTACCCTTTTTTTTTTTTAAAGATGGAGTCTCACTCTGTCTCCAGGCTGGAGTGCAGTGATGTGATTTTGCCTCATTGTAACTTCAGCCTCCCGGGTTCAAGCGATTCTCTTGCCTCAGCCTCCCGAGTAGCTGGGACTGCAGGCATGCGCTACCATGCCCAGCTAATTTTTGTATTTTTAGTAGAGACAGCGTTTTACCAAGTTGGCCAGGATGGTCTCCATCTCTTGACCTTGTGATCTGCCCGCCTCGGCCTCCCAAAGTGCTGGGATTACAGGGGTGCGCCACCGCGTCTGGCCCCATTTTTTTTTTTTTTAGATTGAGTTTCACTTTTGTCACTCAGGCTGGAATGCAGTGGCACGATCTCAGCTCACTGCAACCTCCGCCTCTGGGGTTCAAGTAATTCTCCTGCCTCAGCCTCCTGAGTAGCTGGGATTACAGGCACTCGCTACCATGCTGACCTAATTTTTGTATTTTTAGTAGAGAGGGGGTTTCACCATGTTGGCCAGGCTGGTCTTTAACTCCTGACCTCAGGTGATCTGCCTGCCTCAGCATCTTAAAGTGCTGGGATTACAGGCATGAGCTACCATGCCCTACCTTTTACCCATTTTTAATTGGTTTTTTTCCCCCTTTCTTTCTCAAAAGTTTTTATTTATTTTTATTTATTTTTTATTTTTTTAAAGCCAGTCAAATTTAGCAATGGGGGATTGTATACCAACTTTAGTGACACTAATGTTAATAAGTTCTGATAACCCACTACCATTGGACCAACCAAAAGTTTTTTAAAAATATTTGATGCTGGGTACGGTGGCTCATGCCTGTAATCCCAGAACTTTGGGAGGCCAAGGCTGGTGGATCATGAGGTCAGGAGATCGAGACCATCCTGGCCAACATGGTGAAACCCCATCTCTACTAAAAATATAAAAATTAGTTGGGTGTGTGGTGGAACATGCCTGTAATCCCAACTACTCAGGAGGCTAAGGGAGGAGAATCGCTTGAACCAGGGAGTCGGAGGGTGCAGTGAGCCAAGATTGCACCACTGCACTCTAGCCTGGCAACAGAGTAAGACTCTGTCTCAAAAAAAAAAAAAAAAAAAAGAAAATTGGGTATCAATATTATGTATGTCAAAAGTTGAGGATTGTCTTTTCATTCTCTTTATGATGTCTTTCAATCTAGAAAAGTTAACTTTAATAATCAAATGATTAATTTGCCTTTACAATTTTTGCCTTTAATAATGTGTTTTATTCATTTATGAATGAAGGAAGGTAAGAAAAAATAAAATTTCAAAAAGAAGAGCTCTTGCTAGGTACAGTGGCTCACACCTATAATCCTAGTACTTTGGGAGGCTGAGGCAGGTGGATCACTTGAGGTCAGGAGTTTGAGACTAGCTGGGCCAACATGGTGAAACCCATCTCTACCAAATATACAAAAATTAGCCGAGTGTGATGGCACATGCCTGTAATCTCAGCTACTTGGCAGGCTGAGGCAGTAGAACTGCTCGAACCCAGGAGGCAGAGGTTGCAACGGGCCAAGATCACACCACTGCACTCCAGCCTGGGTAACAGAGGGAGACTCTGTCTCAAAAAATAAAAAAAAAATTAAAAAGAAGAGATCTGATAGGGCAGCAGCCAGATAACATTGTAAAGAGATGGTGTTATAAGTTCGTTCCAGTTATAATTCAGGTTATTCTGACTTTAAAGTATCATCACATAAAATCTTTCTGAGTCAATTTCCAAGATATTCTGTTTCACTTGTAATTCTGTGTAATTTTTGGCACCAGGAGGGATTAGAGGTTTGGAGCACATGGCAGAAACAAAGATACCTTGAAAAATTATCAAGGCAGTAGACCACTGTAATCTTAAAGTAGCACATCAAATGCTGCAATTGCTGTTAACATTTAGATAATGTTAGATAATTTATTTTTTCGAGGATATCTCACTATCTTGCACAGGCTAGAGTGGAGTGGCTATTCACAGCATGATCATAGTACATTAAAGCCTCAAACTCCTGGGCACAAACAATCCTCCTGCCTCAGCCTCCCGAGTAGTAGACAATATATTCTTGTAGATGTTAACCTTAGGGTTCTGAAGGGGAAATCTATAGGAAAATAAATTGCTGAAAAGAATATACCACTTTGACATGGGCTATTATTAGATTCCATAATTGTGGCTTGCCAATGAAATATTGCTAACTACCTATAAAATATAGTGTTGGAAGTCATAGGCTAAATTGCTAAGTTCTTCAATCTATTTGTGTCGTGTTACAGCTTTCATATTCTGTCTTTGATGAGAGCACATGGAACATACCAGTTCCCCTGACACAGATGCAGAGGGCCCCGTCTTCCCTCTAGCTAAGCCTTGGCCTTGGCCTCCTACCCACACAGCAGCTGGCACCTTCCTACCCCCTGAGGCTCATACATACAATATGGCCAGTAGCTGGTTTATGCTTTTTTTAAAAAAAATCTTATTTCTGAAATCTTTCTGTACTGTTTTACAGGTTTTCCTCCCACATTTATGTCTTTAAACCACCTGTAGTTCATTTTTATGTGTGGTGGCAGGCGGGAATCCTCTTTTCATATTCTTTATTATGAGGAAGAACAAACAGACTCTCTCTAGAAACCCTAGACTGCTGCCTCTGTTAGTTCACTGGCATCACTCAAAATATTGGTTGAGTTTCTCACTCACTGACTCGTTGCCTATTGCTTTGTCCTAGTCCTATTACAATCTTGTTTCTTCCAGGAGGAGAGTTGTATGTATAACCCAACAGGCAAGGCAGCTAAATGCAGAGGGTACAGAGAGATCCCTGAGGGGAATGAGAAAGCTCTAAAGAGGGCAGTGGCCCGAGTGGGACCTATCTCTGTGGCCATTGATGCAAGCCTGACCTCCTTCCAGTTTTACAGCAAAGGTAAGAAGCTGTTCCTGGCTGGGTGCAATGATGCATGCCTGTAATCCCAGCACTTTGGGAGGCCAAGGCAGGTGGATCACCTGAGGTCAGGAGTTGGAGACTGGCCTGGCCAACATAGTGAAACCTCGTCTCCACTAAAAATAAGAAATAAAAAATAAAACATTAGCCAGGCGTGGTGGCACATGCCTGTAGTCCCAGCTATTCAGGAGGCTGAGGCAGGAGAATCACTTGAACCCAGGAGGTAGAGGTTACAGTGAGCTGAGATTATGCCACCACACTCTGGCCTGGGTGACAGAGCAAGACTCCATCAAAAAAAAAAAAAAAAGAAGGGGGGGGAAGCTGTTTCTATAGAGCACTGACTTTTATGATACAGGATTGATGGCTTCTTGAAGGATCTTGGGTATTTTCAGTACTTAGTTTTTGTATTCAGATGGAGGCGGCCAGAGAGAAATTAACAACTCCTGCAGTATGGAGCAGATCTCTGTGGTAAACCCTCCCGACCCGGATGGAATTCTACAGAGAGTCTCCTAGACTGGGGAATCCCACAGGGTAACCCTTGGATTGCATAGAGCCTCATGCTGCTAGTTTGTTTTCTAGGTGTGTATTACGATGAAAGCTGCAATAGTGATAATCTGAACCATGCAGTTTTGGCAGTGGGATATGGAATCCAGAAGGGAAACAAGCACTGGATAATTAAAAACAGGTAATGATGATATCACTACTTTTGTCATTCAATCACCCTTTTAACACTCCACCTCACCTCCAGCTTCCCAATATTCCTTTCTGTCTCCCAAATCAAGAAAAAAATTATCTTTGGCTTCTCACTTCTGTCTTCTCAGTCAGAGGCTCTTAACTCTGAGTCTGACATTTAATGGCCAGTGTGTTAGTCCACTTTGCATTGCTATATAAGAATACCCAAGACTGGCTAATTTATAAAGAATTGAGGTTTGTTTGGCTGTTCAAGCATGGCACTAGTATCTGCTCAGTTTCTGATGGGTCCTCGAAGCTTTTACTCATGGCAGAAGGCAAAAGAAGCAAGTGTATCACGTAGTGAGAGGGAGCAAGAGAGAGAGGGAAGTACCAGACTCTTTAAAGAATCAGTTCTCACATGAACTAATAGAGTGAGAACTCATCATCACCAAGGCAATGGCACCAAGCCATTCATGAGGAATCCACTCCCATAACCCAAACACCTCACACTAGGCCCCACCTCCAACACCAGAGATCACATTTCAGCATGAGACTGGGAAGGGACACACATCCAAACCATATCAGCCAGTCAATAGTGCTCAGTGTATGTGCTGGGCAGATGCTCCCTGTGTGCAAGGTGCTTAGTCACATATACAAACCAATGAGCAGATGATGCCTTCAGTGAGCTCAGAGCCCAGTAAGACAGACCTGGCTAGCTGGGTGTGGTGGCTCACACCTGCAATCCCAGCACTTTGGGAGACCAAGGCAGGCAGATTAGGAGGTCAGGAGTTTGAGACCATCCTGACCAACATGGTGAGACCCGTCTCTACTAAAAATACAAAAATTAGCTGGGTGGAGTGGTGCACACCTGTAATCCCAGCTACTCAGGAGGCTGAGGCAGGAGAATCGCCTGAATGTGTGAGAATCGCCTGGCCCACACTTTACTACCTCTGTTGTTCATTTCACACCACTTCTTTGGCATCCCCTTCCCAGAGCAAAATTCTACCCAGCGTTTTGGCTCAGCTCAAATGCCACCTCTTATATCAAGCCTCTGAGATTCTCCTGATCAGAAAGAATCTTTCCCTCCTCTGATAGGCGGAGATTGCAGTGAGCTGAGATCTCATCACTGTACTCCAGCCTGGCGACAGAGCCAGACTCCATCTCAAAAAACAAAACAAAACAAAAAAAACCTGGCTAATCATGGATAAAACAGTACAAAGAACCAGCAGGAGCTTTGGAATTCCATATTTTTACTTTCTTTTGTCTCTAATGTGATCAGTTTCTCAGGGCAATTTCCATTAGCAGTCTGTCTTTAACAGTAGGGGAACAGTGTAAAGCAGGCGTCCCCAAACTGGGGGCCGCATGCAGCCCCCTGAGGCCATTTATCCACCCCCACCTTCCCCCCCCCTACCCCCGCTGCACTTCAGGAAGGGGCACCTCTTTCATTGGTTGTCAGTGAGAGGAGCACAGTATGTGGCGGCCCTCCAACGGTCTGAGGGACAGTGAACTGGCCCCCTGTGTAAAAAGTTTGGGGACGCCTAGTGTAAAGGTTTAATATTCCTTTGAACAGTTTTTTTCCTTCAAGACACACTTAGGATACGTGGATATAAGAACTTGCCAGGATTTCCAGCTCTCTGGAATCCCCTCCCACATAGTGGGAGCTTTAAAAAAAAAAAAAAAAAAAAGAACTTGCCAAAGATGTGAAGAGAAATCTTTTTTAGAAATAAGATATATGGAGGCCGGGCGCGGTGGCTCAAGCCTGTAATCCCAGCACTTTGGGAGGCCGAGGCGGGTGGATCACGAGGTCGAGAGATCGAGACTATCCTGGTCAACATGGTGAAACCCCGTCTCTACTAAAAATACAAAAAATTAGGTGGGCATGGTGGCGCGTGCCTGTAATCCCAGCTACTCAGGAGGCTGAGGCAGGAGAATTGCCTGAACCCAGGAGGTGGAGGTTGCGGTGAGCCGAGATCGCGCCATTGCACTCCAGCCTGGGTAACAAGAGCGAAGCTCCGTCTCAAAAAAAAAAAAGAAAAAAGAAAAAAAAAAGATATATGGGCTGGGCATGGTGGCTCATGCCTGTAATCCCAGCACCTTGGGAGGCTGAGGCGGGAGGATCATTTGAGGCTAGGAGTTTTAGACCTGCCTGGGCAACATAGTGAGACCTCGTTTCTAGGGACAAAAAAATATATATATCTCTGTTTAAAAGCAAGAAGTAAAAATTCCTTTTGTGGAAAAAAAAAAAAAAGAAAGAAAGAAGATATAAACAAAAAAAAAGTTAGTGTTTACTTTCCTATGTTGGGGAACAAAGAAAACTCCAGGGTACTTTGCTTCCCATTTCTCTAGCACTTTGTGACTTTTGGGGTGGGGCAGACTGATAAGAATTACACTTTTCCTTTCCTGCTGATCACCATTAACCTGGCAGCAGCATTGGCTAAATCTGCTGTTCTCTGTGTCCTCCAAGGAGCAGGAGTCCTAGACTCTGGGGAGTTCACAGACGCACGTGGTGGTATAAGCAAGTTGGGCTGCTACCTGGAAGGCAGGCAGGATAGAATGTGAGGCTGGGAGTTGCTTCAAACCTGAAACAACTTTTTTTTTTTTTTTTTTTTTAAAGATGGGGTTTCACCATATTGGTCAGGCTGGTCTCAAACTCCTGACCTCAGGTGATCCGCCCACCTCAGCCCCGCAAAGTGCTGGGGTTACAGGCTTGAGCCACCGCACCTGGCTCAACAACTTTTTATACCACAGTTCCAACTCAGAGTGAACCTGAGCACCTTCCCAAGTCTCCCGCAGCTTCTGCTGTATGTTGTCCCTTTTCTTGACTCCCAACTCCAGGCACTGACCCTGTTCTTTCATGATCAGGTGCCATGTGTGGAGATAGCTTCCAAAAGAGCTGGGAGGAAGAAAGGACACACTCAGGCAGGATCAGGAACACAGCGGGTTCCTGGAGAAGGGGAGAATGGGGGCAGGGTACAGTTTTTAAATAAAATGTATTGGGTAATTGGAGAAGTTGGTGGTTGGGGAAGAGGACTGAAAACAATTTAGGAAGACATACAAACAATCTCTCCTCTCTCTGTCTCACGTCGTCTCTCCTGTCTTCTAGTCTTGCCACTCATTTCCTTAGTAATCTCATCCATTCTCATAGTTTTCATCCATCTCTCCTATGGGGTTTACTCCCAAATCAAGATCACCAGCTTCTGCCTCTTTCTTATGCTCTAAACTTACATTTTCGAGATTAATCTTCCCCAAATACAGCTCTGATCCTATCACTTTCACACTCAAAATCTCTTAGTGGCTCCTCCACTATGATGGGTCACAGGGTAAAAGGTGAAGCTCTTTAACCCCACAGAAAAGGTAATTCATCCTGATCTCAGTCTGCCTTTCTAGACATATCTCTCACTACACCCTGTCAGGCAAACTATTTTTCAGCTACGTGATCCTAATAGTGCCCCACACTTTCCTGCCTCTGCTGTTCATTTCACACCCCTCCACTGGCATCCCCTTCCTGCAGAGCAAAATTCTACTCAGCCTTTTGGCTCAGCTCAAATGCCACCTCTTATATCAAGCCTCTGAGATTCTCTTGATCAGAAGGAATCTTTCCATCCTCTGATACCTATAGTATTACGCCTTTTCCCTACTTCTTGACTTTAAACTCTTTAAAGGTAAAAAATCATCGTATTCATTTTTGTGTACCATCAGTACCTAGCACAATACTTAGTAAACATTTTAATGAATAAATAAGCTGAGAGTACTACGTATTTTTCTTGATTGGTCTTACAGCTGGGGAGAAAACTGGGGAAACAAAGGATATATCCTCATGGCTCGAAATAAGAACAACGCCTGTGGCATTGCCAACCTGGCCAGCTTCCCCAAGATGTGACTCCAGCCAGCCAAACCCATCCTGCGCTTCCATTTCTTCCACGATGGTGCAGTGTAATGATGCACTTTGGGAGGGAGCTGGTGTGCAACTTTCGAAGCAGGTGTGGTGGTACTGAGATTGTCTGTTCAGTTTCCCCATTTGTTTGTGCTTCAAATGATCCTTCCCACTTTGCTTCTCTCCACCCGTGACCTTTTTCACCGTAGCCATCAGGACGTTCCCTGACAGGTGTGTACTCTTAGGCTAAGAGATGTGACTTCAGCCTACCCCTGACTGCGTTGTCCCAGGGCTGATGCTGTGCGGGTAGAGGCTAGAGATTTTCACAGAGGTTAGATGCTCATTCACTGGGACTAGTTAGCTTTAACCGCTCTAGAGGAGTGGGGTGATCTGACTTCTCACTTTCTAAGTTCTCTTCTCTATCCTCAAGGTAGAAATGTCTGTGTTTTCCACTCCAATTGCTAAATCTATTCATAAGTCTTTGGTATAAGTTTACATGAATAAAAGAAATGTGATTTATCTTCCTTTCTTTGCATTTTTGAAATAAAGTATTTATCTCTTATCTACAGTTTTAAAAATAGCATCTAGTTCACATTCATTTTGTGTTAGATACTGTGCTAAGTGCTGGAGGAAAGAAGATAAATAGAACATTTTCTCTCTACTTGATGCACCCACAGTCTGGTTGTGGAGACTTTCATGCAAACAATTCATTTATTTATTCATTTCTTCAGCTAATATATATTGAGTGCTTACTCTGTACCAAGAGCTGTACTACATTTCTGGGATTAACTAGATATAAGGAGATCTCAATATTTAATTCTACCTGAGGGGAGACTGGATTAAGTGACATGGAAACTTGGGTCTTGAAAAATATTTTAAGACTCTTTTTTCTTTTCTCTCTTTCTCTCTCTCTCTCTGTCTCTCTCTCTCTCTCTCTCTCTCTCTCTCTCTCTCTCTCTCTCTCTCTCTCGTCTCGGTCTCCCTCTGTTGCCCAGGCTGGAGTCAGTGGCACTCATAGCTCACTGTAGCCTTGATCTCCGGGGCTCAAGAGTTCTTCCCATCTCAGCCTCCTAAGTAGCTTGGACTACAGTACACAATGCCATGCTTAGCTGACTTTTTAAAAATTATTTTTGGGAGGCCAAGGTGGGAGGATCACCTGAGGTCAGCAGTTTGAGAACAGCCTGACCAACATGGTGAAACCCTGTCTCTACTAAAATACAAAAATTAGCTGGGCATGGTGGTGGGCACCTGTAATCCCAGCTACTTGGGAAGTTGAGGAAGGAGAATCCTTTGTGAGGTGGAGGTTGCAGGGAGCCAAGATCACACCACTGCACTCCAGCCTGGGCAACACAGCAAGACTCCATCTCAAAAAAAAAAAAAAAAAAGATAAATTGAACCTCTATCAAAATTAGAAATTTTTGTGCATCAAAGGACACTACTAAGAGAGGGAAAAGACAACACAGAATGAGAGAAGATATCCACAAGTTATATACCTGATAAAAGAATTAATATCCAGAATATGTAAAGAACCCCCATAACTCAACAATAAAAAAATTAAAAATGGGCAAAAGATTTGAATACATATTTACCAAAACAAATATACACATGGTCAATAAGCACATGAAAATATGCTCAACATCACTAGCCTATAAGGAAATGTAAATCAAAACCACAGTGAGATGTACTTCATATCCATTAGAGTGGCTATGATCACAACAACAAAAACCCAGAATATAGCAAGTGCTGGTGAGGATGTGGAGAAACTGGAACTCTTGTACATTATTAATGGAAATGTAAAAGGGTGCAGCTGCAGTGGAAAAGTTTGTTGGTTCCACAAACACTTAAACATAGAATTACCATATAATCCAGCAATTCCATTCCTAGATACAGATCCAAAAGAACTGAATGCAGGAGTTCAAACATACTCATACACCCAATGTTCTTAGCAGCATTATTCAGAAGAGCCAAAAGGTAGAAACAACCCAGGGTCCCTTAACAGGTGAATGGATAGCCTAATGTGGTAATATTCTATACCATGGAATATTATTTGGCCATAAAAAGAAATAAAATTCTGGCTGGGATGGTGGCATGCCTGTGTAGTCCCAGCTACTAGGGAGGCTAAGGTGGGAGGATCACTTGAGCCCAGAAGTTTGAATCCAGCCTGGGGAACATAGTGAAATCACATCTCAAGAAAGAAAGACAAAGAAGAAAGGAAAATTCAGCCGAGCGAAGTGCCTCACGCTTTGTAATCCCAGCATTTTAGGAGGTCAAGGGGCATAGATCACTTGAGGCCAGGGGTTCGAGACCAGCCTGGCCAGCCTGGTGAAACCCCATCTCTACTAAAAATACAAAAATTAGCTGGACGAGGTGGCTCATGCCTATAATCCCAGCTACTTGGGAGGCTGAGGCACAAGAATTGCTTGAACCCAGGAGGTGGAGGTTGCAGGGAGCTGCAATTGCACCATTGCACTCTAGCCTTGGTAACAGAATGAGATTCCATCTCAAAAAAATAAAAATAAAAAAAAGGAAAGGAAACTCCTCACTTCCAAAAAGAAGAAATAAAATTCTGGTACATACTATAACATGGATGAACCTCGTAAACATGATAAGTGAAATAAGCCAGATACAACAGGACAAATATTGTGATTCCACTTATTGTGAGGCATTTAGAATAGGCAAGTTCATAGAGACATTAAGGAAAGTAGAATAGAGGGTACCAGGAGTTGGGGAGGGAGTAGGATGGGGAGTTCTTGCTTAATGGGTATAAGTTTCTGTTAGGGACCATGTTCTAAATGGGAGAAGCTTGGGTGTGTTGGGATGAGGGGTACATTAGAATTCTGTACGTTTTGCTCAATTTTGCTGTGAGCCTAAAATTGTTCTAAAAATTTTTTTTAAGTTCTAGAAATGATAGTTACACAACATTGTGAATATACTTAATGTAACCGAATTGTATACTTTAAAAATGGTTAAAATGGCAATTTTTTTTTGAGACAGAGTCTCACCCTGTCACCCAGGCTGGAGTGCAATGGCGTGATCTCGGCTCACTGCAACCTCCGCCTCCTGGGTTCACACAATTCTCCTGCCTCAGCCTTCTGAGTAGCTGGGGTTACAGGCATGTACCACCACACCCGGCCAATTTCTTGTATTTTTAGTAGAGATGGGGTTTCACCATGTTAGCCAGATTGGTCTCAAACTCTTGATCTTGTTATCTGTCTGCCTCGGCTTCTCAAAGTGCTGGAACAACAGGTGTGAGCCACCGCGCCCCACCTAAAATGACAATTTTTATGTATATCTTGCCACAGTTAAAAAATTTTTTTAATTAAAAGAGAAGTTCTAGTGGCTATTTAAAACTTCATCTTTTAGCCATGTGATTCAAATTAAATATTGCTCAATCATTTTGTTGTTATTCTTCTCTTCTTCTCTTATGGTCTATATTGGCAAATTCTGTCCCTGCCTCTTCAAAACATAGTATGAATCTGGCCACTTCTCTCTCCCTCTACATAGTTTAAGTTTCTGTCATTTCCCTGGAGACTTACGTAACCACCCTCCAACTTCCCTACTTCCGTGCTCCACTCCGCCCATAGTCTGTTCTTCCCTGTACAAAACTCTCCCATTACTCTTTCATTTATTTAACAAATATTAAGTGTCTACGATGAGGCAGGTGCTCTTCTGGAAATTCAACAGTGACAAAAATTCATGACCTCATTGAGTTTACATTTTAGTGAACTTAGAATATAATGCAAAAGTCTTAAATGGCCTGCAAGCAGCATGATCTGGTCCCAGGCTTTTTTTTTTTTTTTTTTTTTCAGACAGTGTTTCAGTCTGTCACCCAGGCTGGTTGGAATGCAGTATCACCATTATGGCTCACTGCAGCATTGACCTCCCGGGCTCAAGCAATCCTCTCACCCTCAAGCTTTCCTCACACCTCAGCCTCCTGAGTAACTGGGACTACAGGCACACATCACCACACGCAGCTAACTGTTGTATTTTTGGTAAATATGAGGTTTTGCTGTGTTGCCTGGGCTGGTCTCGAACTCCTGGACTCCAGGAATCCACCTGCTTCAGCCTCCCAAAGTGCTGAGATTACCAGCATGAGCCACTGCACCTGGCCCAGGCCACCTACTTCAGCCTGTGGTTTTATGGAAAGTGAGTTATCTAAACAAAATTGGAATGCTGTTAGAAATAAAGGGTTGGTCAAGAAATGCTGACACCTATATGAAAGAGTGCTTATCAACTCCTCTTCCCAGTGAGAGACAACCCAGGATCTTATTTGGTTACTGTGTTCAACTCTAAGACCAGGATTTCTGGCTGATGATTTCCTTCTCAAATTTGGATATGGTTCCTTGAGGCTTGGCAGGTAGATGCTTATTATTTGTTAAACAAATGAAAGAAAGAGTGATGGGAGGGTTTTGCATAGGGGAGTGATGTGACCTGCGGTACAGGGAAGAATAGACTGTAGGGCAGAGCGTAGCGTGGAGTAGGGAAGTTAGAGGGCTCTTACGTAAGTCTAAGGGGAAATGATGGGAACTTAAACTGTGCGATCATGGTAGAGGGAGAGAGAAATGGCCAGATTTGCTTATATTGGCTAAAACTTAAACTATCTTAGCCAATATATATAAAAAAAAAAAAACAAGGGCGAGGAACAGAGTAGTTACAATGAAAACTCTAATTCTGGAAAGAGGAGAATGAATGAAAAACAGCGCACAGTTATCGTTGATCTGTAGCATAAGTTACGTCCAGCTAGGCAGGAATATGGAAGACTCCCTCCCTGGCAGTAGAATGAGTTCTTTGGCCAGGTAACTGGCAAACTCGAGGCTTGCTCTCTGTGGGGATCTGGATCTTTTTTATGGTCCAGCATGGCTCTTGCTTCTTCCTGCTAGAGGATCTTACTTGTCTCTTATTCGCCACGGCTATGCCAGAGATAAACATACGGAAATGCCCTTTCTGGGCATACCCTGCTCAATTTTAGCTGTGGTACGAATTGGAAACCAAAAAGTACAACAGATTGCCAGGCCTGGGGTTTCTTTGGTAATACATTCCCATAAAAGCTCAGTCACTTTTGGTCTGAGTTGTCACACCCAAAGAATGTTTTACTAGATACAATGTTTAAACCTGAGAATTTCAAACTCCTAGGAATCACCCTCAGTGCTGTGCCATCCCCTAAACTCGTTTAATGGGACTTGTCCTAAGTAGCTCGAAATCCATAAGAGCAGATGTACACCCATAAGCTGAGCTATGCCCTCTTTTCTGGGAAAATGCTTAGCTGGAAGTACATGACAGAAGCCTCTAGTCTTACTTCTTGCTGAATCTTTTGCCTCCTTGCCTCTGCATTGTTTAGTTTGGTGCTTCTTCTTATTATTATTATTATTATTATTATTATTTTGAGATGGAGTCTTGCTGTGTCACTCAGGCTGGAGTGCAGTGGAACAATCTTGATGCACTACAGCTTCTGCCTCCTGAGTTCAAGCGATTCTCCTGTCTCAGAGTAGCTGGGATTACAGGGCTTTGTATTTTTACTAGAGATGGGGTTTCACCATGTTGGCCAGGCTGATCTTGGACTCTTAACTTCAAGTAATCCACCCACCTCAGCCTCCCAAA